TAGAAGATTCTGACAGTTTCACAGAACGCTTAATTGCACTCTTCCCTAAGCAACGTACATAACTGAATACAATAAAAACATCAGCATCACCCAGAAGCGCCTGGAGCTGCGCTGCTATTGCATGTTTGACTCCCTAGCTCCCCAACGGTGCATTGGAGACTGTAGGCTTCTGTGAGCTTGTAAAAGCAACCCGGTCGTTTCCTCGGCACGCTTTCTGCCAAAACACCGTTTGCTGCATTTGGGGGGCTTTGTCAGATCCCAGAGGCTGGGGTTCCTCGCAATTGCATTATGTTTTCATAGGGCACGAGGCGCTCATTTGGAGGAGAAGCGCATCCTGGTGGCCGCGTGCGCCTTCCCCGATGGCTCCCGGGGAGAGCCTTCTAACGATCCCCCGAGCTCTTCAATTGGGTTTCAATAGCTCTGCATGCAAAACTGCCTGGCGCTGATGGGGGAAGGACGTGCACGGCTGAACGAGCCGGCGCCATGATCGAACCCGGAGTGTTGACAGTGCCATTAAGCATATTTGGTTGGGTTGCAGAGCTGCTTTAGGAGAAAATTGCCTTTGCTCTTTGTCTCATTTGTGAGGCTCCGGTTTACCATATTATTATGGAAGCTGCTGCCTTTCTGGTACGTGGAGGTGTTAGCCCGGCTCTGTAATTATGGGACTGTCAGAGTTTTCATTAAAATCCCTTCTTTTTAAAAGGATGCGTAACTCAGCTTAAATCAACAACTCCACACGGGCTGGGAGCTTTGCGCAGAAGATGCGCGCTGCCCACTGTAGCAGGCAGATGGCGCCGTCGCACCTAAGGTTGCAAGAAGGAGCTGGATCGATTCGCACTCGTGCTATTGGGATGTGCCATGTGAAGAGGCAAACATCTTTCTATTATTATTTTTAACTTGATTGCTTCTCGGTAATGAGCCCTGAAAGCACGCGAGCTTTGCGCAAATATATTTCACTCCCTACTGCGAATGCACCAACAGCCCCACTGAATCAGACAAAAGGGCTATTTAGTTCAGCATCCTGTTTTCTACAGTGACCTGTCCAGATGATAATGAGAATTCATTTTGTTTTGGTGACACCCTTCCTCCCAGTCAGGAGCCCAGAGCCGGCCCACCCATGAGGCAAGGTGAGGTGACCGCCTTAGGTGGCAAGATCCACAGAGGCAACAGAACCCAATGTAGATCTTTATTCCTCCAATAGTTCCTGAATTTCACACACCCCTTCTTCGCTGGCAGGGAGGGTGGTACCATTTTGTGGTTCTCCTCAGGTGCCAAAATGTCTTAGGAAGGTCCTGGTGCTGCACAACACCATTACAACACAGACCCAAACATTACATTAAAATCTACCTACATGCAACAGAGCCTAACTTCAAAACTGACATTACCCTCTTACAATGGCTGGGTGAACAACTATGTGTTTAGAGTTGATTGTGAAATGCTGCCAGCGAGGGGAACAATGTACTTCCTCAAGGAGGGAATTCCACAACTGAGGGGCCAGTGCCGAGAAGGCCCCGCCTCAGATGTCTCTGAGAAGCTCAGATTGTGTGTTTTATAGGGAAAGCCCATCAAAACATGACTTTCCAAACAATATTTGCCATAGAGGCAACCCAATTGCTGCTGGCATTATTTTCACAGGCATTGCGGATATTTGTTTCAAACATACACACAACCTCTCAGCCAACTTTACCTCTTCTAGGTGATCAGAGATGAATGAGAACTTGGAACTGGTGCCGAGGTAGTTGGAGAAGAACCAAACTGTCTGCTGGCTGACCTGTATGCCCTTCCTCATTTTTTTCTTCAGAATTCTATGTATGTTTTCCCCCTCAAATCTGCACACAACCCAGTTCTGACAGTGAGCTATTTGTCTACATGCAGGGCCCGAAAAATGAACACTATCACTGTCCTTAGGCGATTCAGCCCTCCCCACCCTGTTCATAATCCTCTTCAACAGCTTGGATTCAGAACTGGCTGAAGCTGGCATTGCCAACTTTATGAAACAGCCCATGTAGCAACAGGCAGTCTGGCCTGCAGTAATTAACAGGCGATCGTTTCTTCGCAGCCTGGCAAGAACTTTAATTCTCCTGTGCCTTTAAGATCTTTCAAGACTTCTGCAATTTCCTAGACCTTTTAAACTCACCGTGTGAGTTTTTAGCTCTGTCTTATTTATTATTGAGTGACTTGGTTTTATCTGCCTGTTGTTGGCTGCTTTTTATTGACTAATTATATTGTTTTTATATGGCTTGCTAAGTCAGACCGAGAGCATTTTATGCGGAAGGTGCAGGAAACGCATTTGGGGAAGGGCTGTCACTCTGGGGGCAGAGTGCCTTGCATGCAGATGTTCAAACCCTGGCATTTCCAGGAAGGAGAGACCCCCTTCTTAAATCCTGGAGAGCTGTTGCCAATTATTGTAGGCAGTTCTGAGTGATATTTCTCCCTCCCAATAAAGCTTTCCTGGAGCTTGACTCTAACATTCATCTGCATTAGTGCTGTGTGTTGCATCCCTGGGCAAAGGATGTCCAAGGAGGCATGTTCCATGCCTTCTTCAGGCCACGTGGCAGAGGGGTTGCCAAAGATACCAGCTCATAACTGATCTGTAAGGTAAAGGTAAAGGGACCCCTGACCATTAGGTCCAGTCGTGACCGACTCTGGGGTTGCGGCGCTCATCTCACTTTATTGGCCAAGGGAGCCGGCGTACAGCTTCTGGGTCATGTGGCCAGCATGACTAAGCCGCTTCTGGTGAACCAGAGCAGCGCACCGAAACGCCGTTTACCTTCCCGCCAGAGCGGTACCTATTTATCTACTTGCATTTTGACGTGCTTTTGAACTGCTATGTTGGCAGGAGCAGGGACCGAGCAACAGGAGCTCACCCCGTCACAGGGATTCGAACCGCTGACCTTCTGATCGGCAAGTCCTAGGCTCTGTGGTTTAACCCACAGCGCCACCCGCATCCCTTAACTGATCTGTACCTCAGGTGTTATTCCAGAACAGCTGCCTCACAATATCTGCTTTCACCTCAGGCCCAGATTCCTCCCAATACCAGGTCCTTCAACATACTTCTCCTTCCCGGGGGGTGCTTCAGCTCAGCTCTTTCTTCCCAGTGAGCAAGCATCCCATTTCCAGTCTGGTCTCCTCAGGAGTAAGTCCCAGGGATGGTCAGTTCCTCCCACAGTTGCCTCAGATTTCTTCTCCTGCCATGCCCTGTGTGTCCCTGTCTCAATGGGGCCTCATTCCTGCTCTCTTTGACTTTTTATTTCCTCCTCGTCTTCAAGGACCGCCTCTTTCCATATGAACCTACCCAGACCCTGAGATCATCTTCTGAGGCCCTTCTTCGTGCACCTCCTCCAAGAGAGGCCTGGAGGCTAGCAACAGGAGAGCAGGCCTTTTCTGCAATGGCTCCCCATTTGTGGAATGCTCTCCCTAGGGAGGCCTGCCTGGCGCCTTCCTTTAGATGCCAGGCAAAAACATTCCTCTTTAACCAGGCTTTTGGTTGATCGACATCCAATGCCCTGTTAAAAAGTGTGTGTGTGTGTGGGGGGGGGAAGGATTGTTGGGTTGTTTTTGTTTTATTTTGATTGTATGTTTTGTGTTTGTATATTGTGATTTTATCCTGTGAACCGCCCTGAGACCTGCGGGGATAGGGGAGTATACAAATTTAATAAATAATAACAACAATTCTGCCTTGGCAGCTGGGCTCCTTCTTTGCCACCAGGCCACCAATGGAGAGCCTCCTGGATTTTTTGTCCCCCAGTTGGAGTCCCCAGACAATGCCCAAATGTGGTCTCCTCAGGAGTCATTGCCTGGTTGGTGCCTGGTGGTATGGCTAGTGGATTACTAGGAATGCTTTTAATGTTTGATCTTTTATCGCATTATGATGATGATGATGATGATGATGATGATGTTGGGAGCTGCCCAGAGAGGCTGGGGAAACCCAGCCAAATGGGTAGGGTATAAATTAATTAATAAATAAATAATAATAATAATAATAATGACTGTTATTATATTAAAGGCTGTCACAGAATTATAGAATTATAGAGCTGGAAGTGGCCCCTGGGTCATCTAGTCCAACCCCCTGCAGGAATCTTTTGTTCAACATGGGACTTGAACCCACATCCCTGAGATGAAGAGTCTCAGGCTTTACCGACCCAGCTAGGTCAGGCGCCACCAAAGGAGGCTGGCGAGCCCTGGCAGCCCCATACATGCTCTCAAAGTCCCACAGCTGAGGATGGGACATTGAACAAGAAAGTTCTGCCATGGATGTTTTCGTTGAGATTCCACAATTGGGGTTCCCTTCCAACTCTATACGGGACACGGGTGGCGCTGTGGGTTAAACCACAGAGCCTAGGGCTTGCCGATCAGAAGGTTGGCGGTTCGAATCCCCGTTGCTCGGTCCCTGCTCCTGCCAACCTAGCAGTTCGAAAGCACGTCAAAGTGCAAGTAGATAAATAGGTACCGTTCCAGCGGGAAGGTAAACGGCTTTTCCGTGCGATGCTCTGCTTCTCCAGAAGCGGCTTAGTCATGCTGGCCACATGACCTGGAAGCTGTACGCTGGCTCCCTCGGCCAGTAAAGCGAGATGAGTGCCACAACCCCAGAGTCGGTCACAACTGGACCTAATGGTCAGGGGTCCCTTTACCTTTACCTTTCCAACTCTATGCACAGAGGTATGAGGAGAACGCACCGGTGTTAAAGGTACCCCAGAGATGAATGCAAATTATAATCACACATCGTTGGTTATTTCCCTTTAATTTTCCGTTTTAAAAACCCTGCCCCCCCAAACCCCCCAATATTTTTAAAAAATGCCACGAACACACGTTTTGTGGTCACGTGCATGCAAAACTCAACAAACATTTTATTTTATATATAAAAAAATTAGAAAGCTTCTAGGTCCAGCCCTCTCCCACCCTACCGACCGTACATCTCCAGCGAAACCTCCCCTCTGATTGACACCTCCCTCCCAGAGCGCCGGCAGCCTGCGGAGGGGCGAAAGGGGCCGGCTGCTCGGCAGTTGGCTCGGGAACCGACAGGGGGCGCGCGCGATCGGGCGTTAGGCGGTGGCCGCCGAGCTGCGAGAGGGCGAGGAGAGATGGCTCATGGCAACCCCGTGGTGAGGGCGAAAAGCTGGGGTGGGGGGGCGGAGAATAGGGGGGGAGAAGCTCAGCTTGGCTCAGGGAAGCGCCCAGGCACGTTTAGACCCTGGGCTTAGCCGGCTTGCAAACATCCCCCCTTCCCTCTTAGGATGCTATTGCGCCTGGCTGTGTTTGGGGCTGTGTGTGTCCTTTTGCAGAGGGGGGTCCCCAAATTCCTTCCCTAGAGCAGACCCATTAAGAGGCTCTGGGTGGTACTTAAAGTAATCGCTTGATTGGGGGAGCAGAAACAGTACATTTTTCTTTTAAAGGCACACCCCCAGTTCTGGCATTTAACTGAACTGAACCCCAAGAGATTGGCATCAAAGCACCCTGTGTTAGAGAGGTGGTATATATCACCTTTCTGTTGTGTTATGTTAGTATAAAGGTAAAGGGACCCCTCACCATTAGGTCCAGTCGTGGCCGACTCTGGGGTTGTGGCGCTCATCTCGCTTTACTGGCCGAGGAAGCCGGCATACAGCTTCCGGGTCATGTGGCCAGCATGACTAAGCCGCTTCTGGAGAACCAGAGCAGCACACGGAAACGCTGTTTACCTTCCCGCCGGAGCGGTACCTATTTATCTACTTGCACTTTGACGTGCTTTCAAACTGCTAGGTTGGCAGGAGCAGGGACCGAGCAATGGGAGCTCACCCCGTCACGGGGATTCAAACCGCCAACCTTCTGATCAGCAAGCCCTAGGCTCTGTGGTTTAACCCACAGTGCCACCTGTGTCCCATCATGTTAGTATAGGGCACGGTTAGTTGTATGCAGCACTATCACCGCCTTGATTTACATCGCTTTGAAAGGGATGGCTAGGAAGAACTAATCAGGCTAATAATGGTCTCTTGGTGCACTTTGAAGCCAGGCTACTGCAATGAAGCTTCCAAGTTTAGAGGCAGTCTACCTTTAAACCTCTATGTGCACCGGTGGTGGGGAATGGGAAAGGCAGCCAGGGCAGGGCTGTTGTTTTCAGCTCCTGCTTCAGGGATTCCCAAAAGCATTTTGGGAAACAGGAATGCTGGATTGGTTGGACGGTTCGGCCAACCCAGCAGGGTTACACTTTTGGTCTATATTTTACATCGTGGGGCTAATCCCTCGCCCTCCCCCAAATGTTGCTAATGGAGGTAGCCTGCAGCTACCTCTCCTTCCAAAGCCCTGGAACATTTTTGTTGTTGTTGTTGTTTAATCGTTTAGTCGTGTCCGCCTCTTCGTGACCCCATGGACCAGAGCACGTCAGGCACTCCTGTCTTCCACTGCCTCCCGCAGTTTGGTCAAACTCATGCTGGTAGCTTCGAGAACACTGTCCAACCATCTCGTCCTCTGTCATCCCCTTCTCCTTGTGCCCTCCATCTTTCCCAACATCAGAGTCTTTTCCAGGGGGTCTTCTCTTCTCATGAGGTGGCCAAAGTCTTGGAGCCTCAGCTTCACGACCTGTCCTTCCAGTGAGCACTCAGGGCTGATTTCCTTAAGAATGGATACGTTTGATCTTCTTGCAGTCCATGGGACTCTCAAGAGTCTCCTCCAGCACCATAATTCAAAAGCATCAATTCTTTGGCGATCAGCCTTTTTTATGGTCCAGCTTTCACTTCCATACATCACTACTGGGAAAACCATAGCTTTTACCATACGGACCTTTGTTGGCAAGGAACGTTTTTAGATTAGAGAAAATGAGAGCAAGAGGCGACATGATAAAAGTTAGTGAAATTATGCACGGCACAGAGAAAGTGGACAAGACATAGATAAACTTTATTTGCATTAGCCAATGGCCATAGCAACTTAAAACAAGCAATATATACAATTAAAAAGACAACAATGGGTAAAAAGGACAATCAGATGACCAAGATTATCGTTCAGATAGTGGCCCTTAATCGCATGGCACCCTCGATAAAGCTAGCAACCTTTGCTGTTGTCTGATCATTTTGATCTGATAAAAGAAGGAACAATGTGGCCGCAGATGGGTGGCCTGGGATGGTAAGAGCGGGGTGATGATCTCAACCCTCAGATCTTTATAAAGGGGACAGGACAGGAGAACATGAGCCACTGTTTCCAGATAAAGTGGACAAGAGAAAAGGTTGTCTCCCCCTCTCATAACACTAAAACTCATGGGCATCAAACGAAGCTGAGCGTTGGAAGATTCAGGACGGATAAAAGGGAAAAGTTTTCCTCCCCGCACAGGACATAGTTAAACTTTGGAACTCACTTCCACAAGAGGCAGTGATGGCTGCCAGCTTGAAAGAGGATTGGGCAAATTCATGGAGGAGAGGCTGTGCTCTGTGGAGGCAGTAATGCACTTGTGCAATGGGTCAGTGGTTGGTGGTCCGAGCCCACTTAGGGTTGGCTGTGAGCAGAATCCCTGCATTGCAGGGGGCTGGACTAGATGACCCCTGGAGGTCCCTCCCAACACTATAATTCTACTATTCTACTAGTTGCTGGAAACTGCAGGGGGAGAATGCTCTTGTGCTTAGCGGCTTCTGGCAGGTTTCCCAGAATCACCTGACTGTTCACTGTGAGGACAGGATGCTAGACTAGATGGGCCACTGGTCTAATCTAGCAGGCCATTCTAGGGACCTCAAGGGTCATTGAGTCCAACCCCCACACTGCAGAATTCAGAATCGCCAAGAAGGGAGGTAGCACATTCCACTGTCTGTTGAACAGTCCCGCCTCCATTCATGACTGCCATGATGTCCTGAGCTACTCCAGAGCACAGATATTTTAGAAGAGCCAACTTAAAAACCTGCTGTTTGAACAAAACACACATGGAACATTTAATTCGAGGGGCTGTCACGCTTCAGACATTTATTTATTTTTGGTGTTAACTTTGTGCCGGGTTTTAAATTTGTCGATGATACCCAAATTGTGAATGTGCTTATCTTAAAACTCAAGATCGGGAGATTACTCGCAAAGCTTCTGTTATGAGAATAAATGTTTTGTGGGCGTGTGCCTAACAGCACTAAACTAAGCCTGTGCTGAAATTAATGTCATGTATTTTCAGGGTAAATCTGACCTAGTTTGAAAGTCTTGAAATTTTAGAAATGACGATAACACAAGTTTGCATGTATTCTGGGGAAGTTTCCGAAGCTTTACATTTAAAGCATTTTTAAAAAAAACAGAAGTGAGGAAAACAAGCTTAATGTTGCAAAGACATTTATTTGCTGGGAAATGTGGCAAAATGTGAAATTAATAGCCTGCTTTGCACGTCACACCAAGCCACACTATGACTTATTGTGAATGCATGGGGACCTGGAGAGAAACTTATGTCCCCTTCACTCCCCCCTGGGTTGTTTTGCTTCTGTGCTGAACAGGTGTGGGGTGATGGCATTTGTATGGCTTGAGAGACAATGGAGTGTGCCTCTCGGGGTGAAGTCAAACTGCTCCATTAGCCGCACCAAAGTGACCTCCCTGGGGTGCAAGCCTGGGCGGTGTGTATATAATAATAATAATAATAATAATAATAATAATAATATTTTATTTATATCCCGCCCTCCCCAGCCGAAGCCGGGCTCAGAGCGGCTAACAACAATAAAATAATACAGCATTCTAAAATCAAATTCATTATAAAATCAGTTCAAATCAAATTATGGCAACCATTGGGCTAGAGTTCTGTGAGGATTACCAAAGGAGGGGGTCAGGCTGTGCCTTGGCCAAAGGACTGGTGGAACAGCTCTGTCTTGCAGGCCCTGCGGAAATATGTCAAGTCCTGCAGGGCTCTAGTCTCTTGTGACAGAGCATTCCACCAGATCGGGGCCACAGCCAAAAAAGCCCTGGCTCTGGCTGAGGCCAGCCTAACCTCCCTGTGGCCCGGGACCTCGAAGATGTTTTTGTTTGAAGACCGTAAGGTCCTCTGTGGACATACCAGGAGAAGTATGGAAGTCCTGGGATTCCCAGACAACAAGACCCTCCTCTTGGCCTCGTCGATGTGGTCCAGAGGAAAGCAGAGGAAGACGTGTTGCACCAGCTTGGCTGCAGGAGTTGCCAGGAAGGACAAGTAAAAACACTATCCAGCCATCTTAGGGACTCCAGATTTGTGTAGGGTTCACTGCTTAGCCTCTTCTTCTCCCTTAAGATGTCATGCAGGGCAGAGGGTACGGCTTGTTCCTTGAGGTTTACTCCCAAAGCCTTTCTCATGAATGGGTATAGCCGCAAGGCAGCGGAAGTTTAGGACCAGAGTTTTCCTTCTCCTGGATGGTCTACCTTGCCAGGCCTAAGAGGCCCATCGGCCCCTCATTTCCCTCGACAGCACGTGCAGAAATCACCTTCTTGACCATTGGATCCACTTCCGGTCTTGTTCACTCAATCCTCTGGAGTCTGTCTTCACCTGCAGGGAAACTCCCTAACTTGTTGAGGGTTTGAGACCAATAATAATACAGTGGTACCTGGGATGCGGGTGGCACTGTGGGTTAAACCACAGAGGCTAGGACTTGCCGATCAGAAGGTCGGTGGTTCGAATCCCCGCAGTGGGGTGAGCTCCCGTTGCTCCTGCTCCTGCCAACCTAGCAGTTCGAAAGCACGAAGTGCAAGTAGATAAATAGGTACTGCTGCGGCGGGAAGGTAAACGGTGTTTCCGTGCGCTGCTCTGGTTTGCCAGAAGCAGCTTAATCCTGCTGGCCACATGACCCGGAAGCTGTATGCCAGCTCCCTCGGCCAGTAAAGCGAGATGAGTGCCGCAACCCCAGAGTCAGCCACAACTGGATCTAATGGTCAGGGGTCCCTTTACTTTTACCGCGGGTTACAGATGCTTCAGGTTACAGATGCTTCAGGTTACAGACTCTGCTAACCTCGGGTTAAGAACTTTGCTTCAGGATGAGAACAGAAATCGCATGACACTGGCACAGCGGCAGCGGGAGGCCCCATTAGCTAAAGTGGTACCTCAGGTTAAGAACAGTTTCAGGTTAAGAACGGACCTCTGGAACGAATTAAGTACATAACCAGAGGTACCACTGTACTTGGTATCCTTCTGGGCTGGAATGAGACCATGGCTGCTTCCGGATGACCTGCTTATTGAGCATTGATCCTGATGTGGTCCTAATCTTCCTTCAAACAACCCACACCATATATTTAAAGCACAGGGCATCTACCAAATCATCCTGGGAGCTGCGGTTTAGCCCTGCAGAGCTGCAATTGCCAGCATGCTTAACCAGTGGCGAAGCTGCATGCTCCGGCACCGGGGTCAGAGAGCAGGTGGGGTGGGGTCATGGCTGGCAGGGGCCCTGGGGGTGTGGCACGTCACCCGCAGGGGCATGGCATGCGTCCCGGGGGCATGTCGCAGTGAATGAACTAAGTTCTTACCCCGAGGTACCACAGTAGTAGTAGTAGTAGTAGTAATAATAATAATTTTATTATTTGTATCCTGCCAATCTGACTTGGTTGCCCCAGCCACTCTGGGCAGCTTCTAGCATATACAAAAACATAATCAAACATTAAACATCGAAAACTTCCCAACGGCTACCCTCACCTGGTTTAGCTGGGCAGTCGAAGCCGTTCCTGAGATAAGGCTGCTGTCGCTTGCTGACAGCTTCTAGGAGCCACAGGTGAGAGCTGAGTGCAGGGTGGGGACCAAAGGTGGACAAACTACCCCAGAAGGAGCATGATTTACCCTCCCCCAGAGGTAGTCCTGCTCCCCTCACACCCAATACACCCCATACCCCAGGTGTGGGGTGACTTTAACGTAACTGGGCATTTTGCACTGCCAAAGGAAAGAACTGTGTTTACCTGCGCCAACTGCTTTGGAACGGACAGGGCAGAAACTGAATTGAGGTTGCAGTCCCTGTGTACACTTATCTGGAAAGTGAAACACTATTGGGGACAGTGGGCCATGCATGCATAGAAGTGGAGAGGGCTCCTTTAAGAACACAGGAAGAGCTTGCTGGATCACAGTGTCCAGCCAGATTCCCCGGGGAGAAATTGGCAAGCAGGACCCGGGTGCAAGACCACTCCCCCCCTCCTTTGGCACCCTGAGCGCTGCTGATCTTATTGAGATATACCTAGGACTCCTGAGACTTCACCAGCCATTGCCCATCCATGTTTAAACCCTGTTTTGCAGCCACGATGGCCAGAGCTGTGAATGTTTTGAAAGGGAAAATGGGAGATTCCTCAGTTCTAGATCCAAGGCAACTTCTTTAGTATCACAGAAGGGGTGAAGCTCAGGGGCGGAACACCTGGTTTGTGTGCAGTAGGGCTCAATTTCATTCTCCAGAATCTCCAGGCAGGTTTGGGAGCACCCCGTCTGAAATCCCTGAGAGCTGCTGCTGCTGTCGGCCAGTGTAGACATCACTGGGTTAGATATATGTCAGTGGTCCGACGTGGTGCAAGGCAGCATCTTCCTAGGTTCTCTCATGGAACTGCAGCACACAGAGACAGGGAGCCTTCTTTTAACTCTTTCCCCCTCTGTGATTCATGTGCCGCACAGCCTAAATTCTACAAATCGGTTATCGACGATGTGATTGAAGTTGTCCAGGATGTCTTTGCGGAAGAAGGGGTCGATGAGCAGGTCCTGAAAGAGCTGAAGCGGGTGAGTTGAATGGCTCTGGTTTGCAGTTTCCCCTCTCTCTCCTTCTCCCATTCCTAGTCTGGTCTGAGTAGCTTGTATTCCTGTTTTCTGCAGAAATGCCCAAACACTTTCCTTTGACACCAGTGGTGCAGTGGAGGGTGGGGCAGGGACAAAGCCCCGCCACTTATTTCACAGAAGGGACTATAGTAAGATCTCCTGGACCGCTATATGTCAATAGTGCCAAATAAATAAAAGAGAAATTCACCAGATAAGGCCAAATTAGTGAGCAAGCTGTTGAGATCCCCTAAACTCTTCAGCTCCTCATTACTATTCTACCACTGCTTGCCACTGCTTACCAGTTTAGTTCATATTTAGAGTTGACAGCATCTGTCTGTGTCACAGGGGCGAAAGGGAGCCATATCTATCTTCATTTTTTAGTTAATGATGGGATTTGGAACTACCCCTAAAAATCAAAATTCCGGTTATTGGGTTCTGAAGTGCACTCTGAGCTGAATTTATGTTCTTGTGCTCTGTCTTGCAATTTCCTCACAAAGATCATGCTTCTGGTTCTTGCATACTTCCAAACGGGGACGGTCAGGACTTTTTTCCTCAGGCAAAACTTGCCAGAACTCAGTTTCAGCACCTCTCAGGTGAGCACCATTGCCTTCTAAGAGAACAAGGGAGGGGTGTTCATGGTGAGTTCTGGCACCTCTTTTTCTAGAAAAATAGCCCCGAGGATGGTTATTATAATCTTAGATGCTCCCCACTTTCTTGAATAGAGTCCAGGGATAGCGCAATCAAGTTTCCTATAGATTTGAGAGGGAACATGCACACCCTCTCAGGATCTCTCTGTATTTCTATAATATTGGTTTGTTCACAAATATACCAGCAGAGCATAGTGGAAGCAAAAACGCTCCCCAAAGCAGGTAGCTTAATCACCGATCCTGCACCAGATCCCCTAAAAGCAGCTAATACAAAGTCTTAAGGCCGCACCCCAGTTATTCAGATAACTTACATGGAAAACTCAGCTCTTTGCTTCAGAGGACTGTTCCTGAGTTTCACCCTGCAATTATTCATTAATGAACAATTAAAGGGTCCTTTATCACACACCAGGTAATTATTTTAGCATAGCCATAGTGATAGGCCCACCCGCAGTGATAGAGGAGGCCAAACTCAACAATATATAAAGCCAACGGGTTATGTTAGATCCTGACGGGAAGTGTAAAAATCAGCTGGCTTAAATGAGATCTTTTCACCTTTATATGTGTGTGGTTTTATTATTCAAACCTCCTTTTCTTGCAGCGCTGGGAAACGAAAGTGATGCAGTCCAAAGCGACGGAAAGCTTCTTCCGCCACAGCCACCTTCCTCCCCAGTTCACCTTGCACCTGCCTCCCAACTTCCACCAAGCCCTGCAGACGACAACAGGTTGATGAACGGTCTCTTTCTGCAGATACTGCACAGTGGTGGCCGTGGGTAGCTCACTGGGGAAGCGTACATCTGGCCTGCAGAAAACCCCTTGTTCAAGCCTTGTATGTGATGGTTGTATGTGATGGCAGAGAAGGGCTGCCCCTCAGTAGACAAGGCTGGGTTAGGCTAGGCAGAGCCAACATGGTGCCCTCCATATTTGGCTTGATTCAAACTCTCATTGGCCCCAGTGTGGCTGTTGGTCAGGTATGAAAGGAGCTGCAGTTTCCACTCTTACGAACGGATACCTGCTCGGCAATAATACCTTGCGAGGCACAGGCCATGGTTCTATACTACTGAGTCTAAACCACTGACCCTCTTGGGCTTGCCGATCAGAAAGTCGGTGGTTCGAATCCCCATGATTGGGTGAGCTCCCATTGCTTTGTCCCAGCTCCTGCCAACCTAGCAGTTCAAACGCATCTCAGTGCAAGTAGATAAATAGATACCGCTGCACTGGGAAGGTAAACAGTGTTTCCATGCGCCCTGGTTTCCGTCACGGTGTCCCGTTGTGCCAGAAGTGGTTTAGTCCTGCTGGCCACATGACCCAGAAAGCTGTCTGTGAACGAACACCAACTCCCTGAAAGCGAGATGAGCGCCGCACCCCATAGTCACCTTTGACTGGACTTCGCTGTCTGGGGGTCCTTTACCTTTTCCCCTGGGAGTAAGCCCCTTTGAAGAGAGTGGGATTTACGTACGAACCGAGAGGCGTAGGAGTGCTCTAAATGAATTGCAGTCACAAGTCAAAGTGTGGTGCTGGCTTGATGACGGATTAAACAAAGAGAAGACTTGCGGCCTTATTGTAACACCAGGGGTGCTTCATGACTGTTGCTATTTTTGGGTGGGATTCAATCATGTACCAACCAGTTTTCCGGTTGGGCAAATGTCGTGGATTGGGAGGTCTTGTGCAACAAGCTCACTTCTCCAAAAGGTTGGACTTTTTGCAAGAAGGAAAGTGAGGGGGGAATGTGCTGGAAAGTGCGGGGTGATAATCTGCTTTGGTGCAACGTCAGATCACCTCCCTGCAGACAAATCAGAAGGAATGCTCATTAAATAACCAGCATTGCCTAATCTCCCTGCGAACAGATTGTGATGGATGCTTAATAAAGGGGTTGTCTGGGAACGCCCCTTGATGCCAGCCTCTCGCCTCTGCTGATTTTTTGTCAGGGCTTAATGGTGATGCATATGCAGTGGGAGGAATCACCGTGCAGGAGAATTCAAAACTTTACATGAAGCCCTTGTGACATTTGTTATTTAAACAATATTCCTTTAGGTGCTGCTGCTGGCAGAGGAATTCAACAGTTTGCTACGACAGCAGCGTCGGCGGCCGAACTTGTATGTAGACTTAGCATTGCCTTATGATTTTTCTTATCTACCTCCAAGGCAAAAACCTTAAATTCTATATCAGTATCAACGTTTTCCAGTTGAACAATCTTTGGTGATGATAAATAGCCTTGCAAAATGCCAATTGTAATCAAGCAATCAGCATTCATATTGCAAACACCGGTAATTATAGAGATGCCCAGTCCGTTTTTAAAGAGTTTCGTATCGATTGGGGATGGGGACGACGACCATTATGCTACTTTTGTCTGCCATCCTAAACCCAATTGTAGACGCGGCCTTCTCTTGGTACATTTGAGATTGGTTTCCCTTATTTCATTTATTGTATTAATTTAATAGCTTGTCTCCTAAAAGCATTTGAAAGCAACTTGCCATTTATGTATTGAATTGATGCTTTTGCTAGGCTTGTCTGTACGATGGATTGGGTCCAGGCTTGCACATCACAGACTCCCGCCAGTGCTAGAGGAAGACAGCAGGCAGTGATTTTCGTCAATTTTGTCTCCCCCTGCAGCCCCTTGGAAAAACTGTCCTATAGGATTGTGGAGGACAGCATGGGAGGTGGTGCTTGTTGCTGCAAAGCAAAGAGGAGTTAGGAGAAAACCAGAGCACCCCTTCTAGATCCTGTCTAGAATGGATGGAGCCTCCCAGTCACAGATGTGCAAGTCTGGATACATTCTGCCCTCTAATAACGTACTCAGGAGGATAATTTGCAGTAGCAGGGTGGGCAACTTCTTGCAGCCCAAGGGCTGCATTTTGGGCAACTTTCCCAAGGCCAAACGCTAGCACCAGAGGCAAAAGTGGGAAGAGCAACAAATGTAAAACCCAACTTTCTACAGTGGGATCATTTCTACATTATCCTCCTGCAACATGCCCTGTGTGAGTGTCTGGAGGTGGGTGGCAGCTGACGGATTAAGGTTGAATCCCAGCAAGACAGAAGTACGGTGGCGGACAGGTGTGGAGGAATCCCTGGTCCTGAATGGGGTAACTGTGACCCTGGAGGATCAGGTGCACAGCCTGGGAGTCATTTTGGATTCACAGCTGTCCATGGAGGTGCAGGTCCAGGGCAGCTGTCTACCAGCTCCATCTGGTACGCAGGCTGAGACCCTACCTACCCGCACACTGTCTTGCCAGAGTGGTGCATGCTCTAGTTATCTCTCGCTTGGACTACTGCAATGCACTCTGTGTGGGGCTGCCTTTGAAGGTGACCCAGAAACTACAACTAATCCAGAATGCAGCAGCTAGACTGGTGACTGGGAGCGGCTACCAGGACCCTATAACATCGGTCTTGAAAGACCTACATTGTTTCCCGGTGCATTTTCAAGCACAATTCAAAGTGCTGGTCCTGACCTTTACAGCCCTAAATGGCCTCGGCCCAGTATACCTGAAGGAGTGTCTCCACCCCCATTGCTCAGGTCCTCCTCCAAGGGTCTTCTGGCGGTTCCCTCACTATGAGAAGTGAAGTTACAGGGAACCAGGCAGAGGACCTTCTCAGCAGTGGTTCCCTCCCTTGTGGAATGTCCTCCCATTAGATGTCAAGGGGACATACTACTTTTAGAAGACATCTGAAGGCAGCCCTATATGGGGAGGTTTTTAATGTTTGATGTTTTATTATGCATTTATATGTGTTGGTTGCTGCCCAGGGTATCTGGGGCAACCCATCCGGATGGGCGGAGTATAAATAATAAAATAATAAAAATTACTGCTACTGCTACTACTATTTAGCAAAGCACTTGGGAGGCGCTCCAAGCCACCAAGCCCTGTCTAGACTTGTTCTGAATCTGCTGTAGCTTCAAGGGGGAGCTGGGGAAGTGTTTCAGGGCTACAGAAACACAACTGACTGTTGCCAGACGAAAACCAGGCAACATATGATGAGCTGGCAGATTGAACAAACTGAAAATCTTGGCTGCTGTGAACTTCAGGAGGAGAGTTGGCCAAGGCTGCAAGATCTGGAGGGCACTGGGACGGGAAAGGCTGATGCAAGGATATGTCCTTCAAAGGACCCTGGGATTCTTATACACTAATGCAGAGCTTTATTTTTCAAAGTGACCAAGATTAGAGTGCCCAGATAACAATGTGACATTCCACAAATTCTCCAGTATGAAGCACTAAACAGCTAGTTGCTACAGTATTGCGGAGCACTTTGCAATTGCTACAGCAGGCAGGAAAATCCCTGAGTGGTCCATCAAGACCCTCAGCCATGTTCAAGTGATCCATTATGGGGAGGCGGGGATGTTTTAGAGATACTGGAACAGAACATGGGCTGCGACCTACAAAATCTAACTGAATTTTCCTGATGGGCTTCCTTTCACTTCAGGGCAGCTCCAGGTCTGCCGGTACAATCTTCACCCTGCCTTCGGGCTTCGCCTATCCCATCCAAATACCCGCTGGCGTGACTCTGCAGACGGCTTCTGGTAAGCAGAGCAGGTGCAGGCTTGGAACGTGGTTGATACAGCTGGCAGGGTTTGAATAAGTGTGTGAGGAAGACTGCGAGGATTGTGCAATGTGGAAGTTGGCTGTTGATAAGCTTTAAGGGTGAAGACTGCACCACAAAATAACAACAGGGCTGTTGCACGGTGCTTCCAGGCTGCTGCTGTTTTTGGGTGGGATTCAGTTGCATCCCAAGAAATTCAGGTTTGCACAATGAAAGCTGATCATAGACTCATGGAATCGTAGATCATAGAATTGTAGAGTTGGAAGGCAGGAATCTCTTTTTTTTTTTTTATTTTAATAAACTTTATTACAATCACATATACTTACACATACAAAGAAAAGATTGTACCATAAAAAAATACAGTACAAACAGCACGTTAAAACATATACACCTAAAAGTAACAGAGAGAAAGAAAAAAAAACGCTACAAAGGAAAAAATTCCAATCATACCCTTACACACAAATTCCAATCATACCCTTACACACATTTGACTTCCATTAACCTCAGCTTTGGATTTAATATTCTACATTATTCTTCTGCAGTTGTTTTCATTTTTCTTTCCATGTCGTAGGGGTTAACCATCGTCTACTGTTAAGTTATTAATTCTCAAATTAGTCTCAAGATAACTTATGAATTTAGACCAGTCTTCTATCTTTTTAATCGAACTGTCCCGCCTAACATATTGGGTAAGCCTCGCCAATTCCAAGTATTGATACACTTTCACCTGCCACTCTCTTATTGTTGGTGTTTCTGGGGATTTCCATTTCTTTGCTATTAGAATTCTCGCGGCAGTGGCAGCATACTGGAAAAAAGTCTGATCTGTCTTTTTTATTTCCTCCCCAATCATCCCTAGTAAGAACGCTTCGGGTTTCTTGGGGAAGTTATACTTCAAATTTTCTTAATCTCCTCGTGAATTTGACCCCAGTAGCCCTTCACTTTCTCACAGGTCCACCAAATATGAAGGAAAGTCCCCACCTTATCTTTACACCTCCAGCAAGTATTATCTGTTGTTCTGTACATTTTCCCTAATCTTGCCGGGGTCAGGTACCAGCGGTACATCATCTTGTACATATTCTCGCGTAGGTCAGCGCATACGGTAAATTTCATACCTTTCTTCCATAGTGTTTGCCATTTGTCATATCCTATCTCGTATCCTAGATCTTTATTCCATTTAATCATTACCTCTTTAATCAACACTTCCTTATTTTCACTTTCCAGCAATTGCCTGTACAATTTAGACAGTAGTTTGTTATTACTCTCCATGATCTCCACTTGAAATCTAGATTTATTTTCTCCCATACCTATTCTCTTATGTTCCCTCCATATTGCGCTAACTTGGTGTAGGTGATACCAATCCTTAATTTTCTCTTTCAGTTCATCCTGTGATCTTAATTTCCACCCTTCTTCTGATTTAGTTAATAGATCCTCATACGTCCACCTTTTACCTGTCATATTTGGTTTCTTTATTTTAATAATATCCACAGGTGAGAGCCACCAAGGGGTATTTTGCTCAATCACGTTTTTCCTCCTATTCCAAACTTCTATGAGTGATCCTCTAACTATATGATTATAAAATCCTCTATGGACTTTATCTTTTCCCTGCCAGAGGTAGGCATGCCACCCAAATCTTAAATCAAATCCTTCCAAATCTAATAGGTCAGTATCATTCAGGGTGGCCCATTCCTTTATCCAGAGTAGGCATGCCGCCTCATAATAAAGCCTTAAGTTTGGTACACCAAAGCCCCCTCTCTCCCTGGAATCCGTCAGGTATTTAAGTTTCACCCTGGGTTTCTTCTCTTGCCAAATATATTTGGTCAAAGTCCTTTGCCAATTTTTAAAGCAGGTGGTACCTTTTATGATTGGTAAATTCTGAAATAGAAATAACAATCTCGGGAGGATACACATCTTAATCGATTCCATCCTCCCGGTCCAGGATAAATTTAGTCTACGCCAGGTGTTTATATCTTTCTTGATTTCCTTCCACAGTTTATTATAATTATCCTCTACCAAATTAATGTTCTTTGGGGACAACCAAATTCCCAGGTATTTCACCTTATTTACTACTTTAATATCCACCTGTTGTTCTAACTGTGATCTTTCTTGTATCGTCAAATTTTTCGTTAATATTTTAGTTTTTCCCCCTATTTAACTTGAATCCGGATAATTTACCGAAATCTTCCAAGAGTTCTATCGCTCTGCTGGTGGTTTCTAGTGGGTTTTCAAGAAAAAAGACCAGATCATCTGCGTAGGCTTTTAATTTGTATTCTTTCTCTCCAATTCTTACTCCCTTGATATCCGGGGTCGCTCTTATTTTATTTGCGGCTGTTTCTAACACTAAAATAAACAATAAAGGTGACAGAGGGCAGCCCTGTCTTGTGCCTTTCATAATCGGAAAGTATTTAGTCAAGTTATTGTTAATGATCAACCTAGCCTGCTGCTCAGTATAGATCGCCCTAATACCCTTCAGGTAAGGACCCCTTATACCTATCTTATCAAGTTTTTGTAGCAGAAATTCCCAGGATACGCGGTCGAAGGCTTTTTCTGCGTCAACAAAAATAAGGGCCGCTGGCACGTCTGGTCTAGCCTCCAAATATTCCATAATGTCCAATACATGCCGGACGTTGTCTCTCAATTGCCTACCCGGTAGGAATCCCACTTGGTCTCTATGTATGTATCTATTTAATAATTTTTTGAGTCTGCTTGCCATGATATCTCCAAAGATCTTATAGTCACAGTTTAAGAGTGAAATTGGCCTATAATTTTTTATATCTGTCTTTTCATTTTCAGTCTTAGGGACTAACGTGATATACGCCTCCTTCCAGGAGCTAGGTATTCTCCCTTCTTGAAGAATATTATTTATTACCTCCGTTAAGACCGGGGCTAACAAATCTACCAATTTTTTATAATATTTTGCAGGCAGACCGTCCGGACCAGGGGACTTCCCGTTTTTCATCTTATTAATGGCGTCCCGGACCTCTTTTACAGATACCGCTTTGTTTAGTTGTGTACAATCCTCCTCCGTAAAAAGTTTTCTTTCTTCCTGGTCTAGATAATTTTCTATATCTACTCTACTTTCTTCTCCTTTTTCATACAGCTTTTCGAAGAAAGCAACAAACCTATTTTCAATTTCCTCTGAGTCTTCTACCACCCTTTCATCTATAATGAGTTTATTGATCACATTTTGTTTCTTTCTTTTCCTAAGCTGCCATGCAAGTAACTTCCCCATTTTGTTAGCCGATTCAAAATATTTCTGTCTCGTAAATTTAATTTTCTGTTCTACCTCTTGATTCAAAATAGCTGAGTATTGGGACTGCAGCACCCTCACCGTTTGATTAATCCTTTCATCTGTTGGGTCTAAAGCGAGTTTTCTTTCATAGTCCCTCAGTTGGGCCAAGATGTCTTCCTTCTTTTTCTCCCTTAACTTCTTTCTATAGCTATTTTGCTGTATTAGAAAACCTCTTAGAACAGCCTTGCCAGCGTCCCATACCAGCTCTATTGGGGTATCTCTATTCAAATTCATCTCCAAATACTCTCTCAAGGTTTTTTTTGTCATGTCCAGTACTCCCTCATTTTCAAATAGATATTCATTCATCCTCCACCTGAGCTGCCCTTTCAATTCGTTTCTAATTTCCAAAGTCAGTGGGCAGTGATCTGACAGGGTCCTGGGTAGTATCTCACATCTTTTAACTCTCCATACCATAGCCCTGGTCGCCCATATCTGGTCAATCCTACCCCAGCTCTGGTGGGGCTCTGAATAATGAGTGAATTGTTTTGTAGTAGGATTCCGGTACCTCCAGATGTCAATTAGGTCTAAATTTTCCACTAACTCATTAAATGAGTTAGGGAGTTTCCCCCTGTTTACATTCCTCTGGTTCTCACTTCTGTCTATACTCGGTATTGGAACCCCGTTCCAATCTCCCAATAAAATTAACTTATAAGGTTCCAATTCTAGTAGCATGCTTTCTAATTTTCCAAAAAACTCAGATCTTTTTGTATTTGGCGCATAGACCGACACTACATTAATTCTTTCCCCTCGAAAATTTAGTTGAATACCTAGTATTCTGCCTTCTTCATCTTTACAGATTTGTTTTGGTTCCCACCTTTCTTTGGCGTAAATTACCACTCCTTTTTTTTTGTTTACATCCGAGTTTACAAATTCTACTCCCAGTTTTTTATTCACTAAAATGTGTCTATGTCTCTTTGCGATGTGGGTTTCCTGAAAACAAATTACATCATATTTCTTATTTCTCAAAGCTTTTTGAATTTTATTCCTTTTAATTTTCTCATTTAACCCATTCACGTTCCATGATAAAAATTTTAAAGTGTCCAGTATTGTCTTAGTTCTCCAACTACTTTATCTCAAATCAAAACTCAAGTTAAAAACCGGCGCCCTTGTTTCCTAGGAGCCTCTCCTCTTCAACCGCCCCTTCTCCCACTGCGGCTTCTTCATCTTCGTCTTCTGAGTTTAACCCCCTTTCTCCTTGGTCTTTCACACTCCCCTCCCTCCCTTCCTCCCCCTCTCGCCCACTTCCTTTCGCCTCTTCTTTGCTTCGTACTCTATATTCTATCCTTCCTAACTCTTTTTCATATCTTCTCAGAAACTTCTCAGTTTCTTGTGTGTCTGTTAACTTAAATTTCTTATCTTTATAGAAGAAAGTAATCCCCTCAGGGAACTCCCATCTAAACTGTATTCCATTTCTCTTTAAGGCAGCTACCACTTGTCTGTAGCCCTCTCTTTTTCTTAATAATCTAATTGGAATCTCTTTATAGATGATAATGGGTCTGCCTTCAATTCTAAGTTTGTTGCGGTAACTCGTCCTTAGGATTAGATTTCTCATTTCTAAAGAATTAAATATCACCAGACAGTCTCCCAAGAATTTGTTAATTTTTAGATGCTGTGGTCTAGACATTCTAAATGCATTATCAATCGTTAAAGCTACCTCTTCTTCTTCTAAGCCCAGCCATTTAGAGAGCTCCTTAATCATTTTCTTTCTTACATCCTCATTTCTTTCTTCTGCCACACCTCTAAATTTTAAGTGGAGCTGCTTTTGTCGCATGTCGGCCATGGCAAGATTGTCCCAAATCTTATCCTGTGCTTTATTTAATTCACCCAACTCTTCCCTCATCCTCCCTGTTTCTTTTTTCTGTTCTCTCAATTCTTTCTGAAGTTTCTTATTAGATTCCTCAATCATCTTAGATTTTACTGACAAGTCCTGAATTTTTGATGAAAGCTCTCCTACTGCTTCCTCTATTTTCTTATCAATCAGGTCTTGCATATCCCCTAGCTTATTTTCCATATATGTTTCATTTTGTTTAAATTCTTCCTTTATTTTGATCCATAAGCTATCTAGGTCTTTAATCTCCTCCTGGCGCGATGTCTTTCTTTCCCCTGGAGTCCCACCCGTTTTCTTCGGGTCCTTCCCTTCCCTCCCCATCATTATTTTCCGAGCCCCTAACCCTTCTTCCTTTCCTCTCAAAGAGCGTCCACCGGGGATAATGTGTATTATGTTTTATCTTACTGTATCTTGTACCCCTACATATAAACTCCTAAACACATAAACACACAAAAATACGTATAAACCCCAGGGTAGCGACAGTCTCAACTAAATCATCCATGACAGATGGCCATCCAACTTCTGTTTAAGAACTTCTAAGGAAGGCGAGTCCTTCACCTTCCAAGGGAGTGTTCCACTGTTAAACAGCTCTTATTGTCAGAAAGTTCTTCCTGAGGTTTAGTTGGAATCCCTTTTCTTATAACTTGAATCCATTGGTTCAGGTTCTTCCTTCTGGAGCAAGAGGAAACAAGCTTGCTCCACCCTCCTTTCTAATCCTCCTCCTTCTTCTTCTGCAATCACTCGTAGTCGAGTAAGATTGTCTTCCATAAACACGGTCTTAACAGTGAGTCCATAAGTGACTGTGGAGGCCAATTCAGGATTCATACATCCTTCCACAGTGGGGGCATAGGTTTCTGGGCGGGAGTTGATCACGGTGAGGGTTTGCCAAGTGTGCCTTCCTCTTAGCACGTTTCTCCCTTTCGTCATGAATTTGAGCATCTTCAAAGCCCATGACACCTTTGGTAAAGGCTGTTCTCCAACTGGAGCGCTCACAGGCCAGGGTTTCCCAGTTGTCGGTGTTTATACTACATTTGTAAAGATTTGCCTTGAGAGAGTCTTTAAACCTCATTTGTTGACCACCAGCATCACGCTTCCCATATTTAAGTTCAAAATAGAGTAGTTGCTTTCGAAGATGATAATCAGGCATTTGCACAACATGACCAGTCCAACGAAGGTGATGTTGAAGAATCATTCCTTCGACACTGGTGATCTTTGCTTCTTCCAGTACACTGGCATTAGTTTGCCCTCCATCATCCATGTAACAGCTCTCATCTACCTGGCTCTTCTAGATCAACCCCAGATTATGGCTTGAAGGCACATGAAGCCACTATCTGGTTGAAGCTAAGCAGGTCTGGTTGGTTAGTGCCTGGATGAAGTACTATCTGGGAACTGCATGTGTGTTCCATGATGGAAGAAAGGGAGGATATAAACGTAAGGTTTTTGTTTGTTTGTTTTTAATTGAGGAAAAGAAAAAAGATCTGGAGGGCCCCAGGTGGACCATGTATGTGTTTACGTTTCCGAGCACGATTCAAAGTGTTGGTGCTGACCTTTAAAGCCCTAAACAGCCTCGGCCCAGTATACCTGAAGGAGCGTCTCCACCCCCATTGTTCAGCCCGGACACTGAGATCCAACACCGAGGGCCTTCTGACGGTTCCATCATTGCGAGAAGTGAGGCTACAGGGAACCAGACAGAGGGCCTTCTGGGTAGTGGCGCCCGCCCTGTGGAACGCCCTCCCATCAGATGTCAAAGAGATAAACAATTACCTGACATTCAGAAAACATCTTAAGGCAGCCCTGTTCAGGGAAGTTTTTAATATGTAACGCTGTACTGTTTTTAACACTTGATTGGGAGCCGCCCAGAGTGGCTGGGGAAACTCAGCCAGATGGGCGGGGTATAAATAATAAATTATTATTATTATTATTATTATTATTATTATTATTATTATTATTATTATTAACGTGTGTTTAACCCTCTGTTAACTGCAATGTTGAACTGACTGTTGATGGATAAAACTTTGTGGGAGGGAAAAAGCTGAATGGCAGTAGAGCTGGCAAACTAAGGAATTTGGCCCACCTCTGGCTCTCTTCCCAAGCAGTTCTGATTGGCCATTGAGGGAGACCGGCCTACTCACAATGTTCAGTTTCTCTTTCTTAGGGCAGCTGTATAAAGTCAACATGCCGGTGGTGGTCACCCAGGCCCCGGGAGGTGCAACTGTCCTCCAGAATCCAGTCCAGCAAATATTCCAACAGCTTGGGCGGCAGCCCTCAGGAGCTCAGCCTGCTGCCGCTGGTGCTATGCCGGTGAACGCCTCTTCTCATCAGGCACCCAGTGAAAACCTGCAGGCCCTGAATCCTGCTGTATCTCAGCAAGTGGGAATGGAAGAGAAGACCTTGCCTGCTGCTGCTGCTGTCATGCAGGAGGCTATTGGGAGTCATGGGAAAGCTGCAGTGGGAGCTCTGGTAAGAGAGCAACCAACCAGCTCTCTGGAGACCCTTCCAAATGCAGTTGTTCTTGACTTGAAATTATCGGAAGCACGCTGCCCTACAGTGGCCACAGAAGCGACGGCAGGAAGCTCTCCCAATGGGTCAGAATTGCCAGTCGATCTTGAGCAGCCACTGGATCCCAATGATATAATTGAGCTGATAATTATGGGCAACGAGTTGGACGACAGCACTCTCCTGTCTGATGAAGCCAACCTCTCTTTTTCTGAAGAGGTAATTCTTTCATTTTAAAGCAGAGACAGAGTCCAACAACATTGGGTGGGCCACAGGTTCCCTACTTTCTTTTGAAGGATATCTTTTCATTTTTCTTCTGTTCAAAACTGTTTGCAAATGTGATTTTTAAAATGCAGCAGAACGTAGGATGTGTGCAGAATTGTGAAATAAGCATGCTCTTGGGTATTTACCATATTCTTCCCATTTAAAATTGAGAATAAGGTACTTAAAGGAGCTGGCGCGCACCCATAAGGGGGATTAAATTAGCTGTTCCTACCAGTGGAAGCTGAACAAAGACTAAACAAGTGTAGTGAGTATTCCCCACTCCTCCCATGCCCCCAAATTGTATATGTGGGGGTCAGGAGAATCTCTGGAACAGCAGAGGTGGGGCAGAGAAGGGAGATTGTTCCATCGCATAAGCAGAAATACTTGTGCTGATGGAGTGATCTGCTTAGCACTACCCTGAATTATTCCCATTGCTGGTTTTATTTATTTATTTATTTATTTTATTATTATTATTATAAAGGACTACTTTCTGAAGGTTTTTTTTTAAAAAAAATGAGTGTATGCTTGTGGAATAGTTTCATTTCATTTCGATTTATCTTTGTAAATTTTCAATCATTGAAAGCTGGGAGGAGGATCTTAGATTCCTCCTAAGCCCCGCTCCTAGGTTTGACCCTGGGAAGTTGACACGAATAATAGTTGTCATGCATCTTTTCTGTGAGCACGCTGATGTCTGAATTGATCTTGTGAGCCTCTCCCATAGACAGAAGGGCAAGGCTTCAGAAGTAGTGTGGTGGGCATTTGTTTGTGAGGAAATGCTCCCATGTCTTCAGTGTAGTGCACATCTTTCTTCCAGCTAGAGACTAGCGTGCAGATGGAAGCTGATCTGCAGACCCAGAAGGATATTGCCAATAATATTGAAGAGATAATTCAGCTGGATGGAACAGGTGATGTTTCTCCCAAGGTAGAAATAGAAAGCCCAAGAGATGGAGAAGATGAGGATCTTGTGGGCATCATTGATGCTGAAGATCTGAAGGTCCTGGATGAGGAAGAGGAAGAAGACGGTGAAAACAGTACCTCAGACAATCAATCTCTTAGCAGCAGTAGTGATGTGGATGAACCCTCGGTTGACATAATTGAGGAGGTAAAGCTTTCGATTCACTTGAAAATGACTTTCTTTTCACATCTGTGGGTGAGGCTGAAACTACACATGATGTAAACTGCTTTCAGTTTCCTTTTTCTTTTTACAGTCAAGCAGTGTATTAATTTTATGAAATAGATAAATGGCAGGAATCAGAGAGCAATTTCGAGGACCAAAATGGGGAAGATATTACATCTTTATTCTTGTTTTGTTACTTGTGGACTTCGATGCCAATACAGATTTGGGCACTTTGAGTCTTTGATACTCACCTGCATGCCATCCAGTTACATGATCTGCCCTGCAGACATGAGCAATTGTAATGCACCTGTTGGGGCGATGGCACCGATGAAAAATGTCGCCCCCCCTTTCATTCTTTTCCTGAATGAAAAGTCACGCTCTGCCCTGTAGATTGCCCCACCTGTTTTGCACATGCAGAAACTGAGATGGAGACATCCTCTGTGTTACAACAAACATGTCCTATGGCAGTATTTTGTGGTGGTTCCTCATAACACTTCCTCAAAATTCCAGATATACTTGCACATCCCAGAATGGCCACTATATCAACCCTTTGTGTTCTTGGAAGGCTGTTACCATAACAGAGTTGACCAGTTCTTGTTGTTGTTTAAGAAACATAGTTCAATGCCAATCAGGAAAACAAAACTTTTCCCTTTTTAGGATCCTTTAAATTCTGGGGACGATGTCAGTGAGCAGGAGACACCAGATGTATTTGACACCGATAACATAATTGTATGCCAGTATGACAAGGTACAGTGAAGAATGCTTGCTAGCTAAATGGGCCTTTACAATTTAAGTCCTCTCAGCCCTGTTAAATGTTTGGGGAAAATGTAGCTGCCTCCCTCTTTCACATCTAACACAGACCTGGGTTTGCCATGCAGTGAGTTTTTCCACAGGCAGCCGCACCAATCATGTTTCCCTGATGAAAGTTCCTGTATAATGCATTTACTCATTGTGTCTTAAGTAAAACAACTTAGATGTGCGCTGGAACCAAATAATGTGGGAACTGGACCTAGGAATAAATTAAGACTTTTATTTGCTTTGGGGAGGGGTATGGACTGCAAATCCCACCAGTACTTTCCATTGGCCATGTTGGCTGGAGCTGATGGGAGCTGCATATGGGAGCTGCCTAGTGGGTGGGAAGGAATGGAGTTTCCCTGGAAAAAGGAGTGGCTGTCTGGAATCCTGAACAGCTCCCTGCCTTGCAAGGTTGCTTGTTCCACATGTAAGCTACTTTTTAAGTCTGCAGTGTAGAAATTTCTGAGTGCTTCTGCTTTTAGTACATGAATTGTTTTTAATTGTTCAATATTTCCCATTGCTTACCAAGGAAAGCAACTGTTATTTTAGTGGGATTTAAAGGCCCCAGCATACTGCTTTTTGTTTTTTACCAGGTTCAGCGGAGTAAGAACAGATGGAAGTTCTACTTGAAAGACGGTGTGATGTGCTTTGGGGGAAAGGACTATGTTTTTTCCAAAGCCATTGGAGATGCAGAATGGTGAAATGTACAAAAATATCCAGAGTGTTTTTGGTTTTTTGTGTGCAACGTTCAGTAAGAATATACTGAAATGCTTGCCTTCCGAAATGTGAAATACAGCAATGTGAAAAGAGACTTCATATGAAAAACACATGTAAAAAATGAATAAATCCTACGTAAAACAGTGATTGTTCATTGACCAGCTTTGCCTTTTGTGCACACACACAAATGTGGGTTATGCGGCTCGCTTAGCGCATCTGTTTGTGGCATCCCTGTTCTTTGATGCTAACCAAATCTCCAAGCCACCTTGAGTTATGGAAGGCACTGTAACTTGGGGGCCTTGAGTCTCCCAGCAGTCAAAGCTTGTTGTTGTTGTTTAGTCGTTTAGTCGTGTCCGACTCTTCATGACCCCATGGACCAGAGCACGCCAGGCACTCCTGTCTTCTACTGCCTCCCGCCGTTTGGTCAAACTCATGTTCGTAGCTTCGAGAACATTGTCCAACCATCTCGTCCTCTGTCATCCCCTTCTCCTTGTGCCCTCCATCTTTCCCAGCATCAGGGACTTTTCCAGGGAGTCTTCTCTTCTCATGAGGTGGTCAAAGTCTTGGAGCCTCAGCTTCAGGATCTGTCCTTCCAGTGAGCACTCAGGGCTGATTTTCTTCAGAATGGAGAGGTTTGATCTTCTTGCTGTCCATGGGACTCTCATAATTCCAAAGCATCAATTCTTCAGCAATCAGCCTTCTTTATGGTCCAGCTCTCACTTCCATACATCACTACTGGGAAAATCATTGCTTTAACTATACAGACCTTTGTTGGCAAGGTGATGTCTCTGCAGTCAAAGCTACTAGAAGTCAATGAAGTGGTCTACAGTGATTCTGCAGGGGAACTTGCACCCTTGGGGATTTCTGATTTGTTTGACTCTGTACACCACTTTCAGTTGCGCAGTGCTACGCTTACCTAGTATGCCCTTCCCCAAGCAGAAATGGGGAACCTGTGGCGCTCCCTATTGGGCCCCAACTGCTGTCAGTCCCAGCCAGCATCGCCAATGGTCCAGGATGATGGGTGTTGTAGTCCAGCAACATCTGAAATACCTCAGGTTCCTCATCCCTGATTCTGATGAAGATGGTGGAGAGTTCTCCAGCTCTGCTGCACTCATGGCCTGTTTGCCAGTTTATGGCATGCTTGGGTGCTGATGCTGGCAAGCAGCTGTGTGCAAAAGCCCAAAGCAAACCCTTCTAAGCGGAGGTTGCACATGAGGGAGCAAGACACAGTGATTTTTTGAAAACTAGCTGGCAAGCAACACTTCCAAAATAGCCAACCAAACATTGTTTACTAGGATATTGATAAACCAGACCAGGAGGCAGGGAAATTATGGGTGGTGTTCAGCTACGTTTTACCGAGAGCAGACCTGTTGAAATCAGTGTTCTGAACTTAGGTCGTGTTCCTTAATTTCAGTAGGTATACTCTGAGTAAAATCTAGCTGCATACCACATGGTGTCTCCACATGGCTTAACTGCATTAGGTTCCAGCATGTATTTAATCACTTGATTAGTAGAGTCAAGTCTTAGGCTACACCTTCTTACTTGGAAGTACTGAACTCATTGTGTAGTATTCAGTTATGTTGTACTCAGAGTAGACCCATGGAAATCAGAAATTGGTCAGACTCACTGACAATTGTGCCATGGAAACATGGCTAACTTGGGTCCATTAATTTTAATGGATCTACTCTGAAGCTGAATGCTACTGTTATGTATTCAGTGGTCTGTGTTTGCTTGAGTGTGAGTCTGGACCAGGGGTCAGCAAACTTTTTCAGCAGGGGGTTGGTCCACTGTCCCTCAGACCTTATGGGGGGGGCAGACTATATTTTGGAGGAAAAAAATGAACAAATTCCTATGCCCCACAAATAACCCAGAGATGCATTTTAAATAAAAGCATTCATTCTACTCATGTAAAAACACGCTGATTCCTGGCCCATCCGCGGGCTGGATTTAGAAGGCGATTGGGCCAGATCCGGCCCCTGGGCCTTAGTTTGCCTACCCATGGTCTGGACTAAGGATTATGAGCTCCTGTGTTCTGATTCAATACATGTTGTCCAATCACAGAACATTTCAGGATTTTGGCCTCTGCCATTGGCCGTTGAACTCTGAGTCATGATTCTCAGTTTGGCAGTGTAGACAACCAATCACGTTGGGAGTGGCCCAGGCTTTCAGAAATGTATATATGTAGTTGCTTTGCCTCTGTTTCCCAGTTATGTAGTTCAGTAAAGGTTCTTTCTGTTATCACTGTGTCTTGCCTCGTGGGAACTCACCTACACTTCAGCTACCTAAATGAGACTTACTTCTGAGTAGGCATGCATTGGATTGCACTGTTAAATATAAAAAATGCACCAGAGGAGAGAGACTGGTTGCATTTAAAATGCAGATGTGCATTTAGGAGAAATGCGCCGAGGAAGCCACATCCACTTCACTTTAATTAATGCCTTGTTGAAATGTATACTCACAAATTGAGCCAGTTCGGTCCCTCTGAGCGTATGACTGTGAATATCTTCCGATCTTTACACAGTTTACTAAGGAACATGATGGATGGGAAGGGAAATAACCCATTTCATCTTATTACAATGCAGATCTCTTATTTCCAAGGCCAGATTCACTACAACAATTAAGAACATGCTTGAGCATTAATGGATGTGTCTTTTGCATTTTTTGGTGTTGGGGTATAATTGTTTTTGAAGTGCAGCACAATTTAAACCTGACCCGGTTTACTCTAATTATATTTATGTTTTGCTCCATTTAGAGTATAAATTAGAAGTGAATTATCTTCTTTCCTAGTTGACAATTAAATGCTTTGGGAAACTTGAATTCTTCTTTAAAATAAAAATCAGGATTGTTCTGTTGAGAGCTGAAATGCGAATAGTTTAATTAGCTTATTAGGACAGCCACAGCATCCAGTTTAATCAGTTTTGAGAACTGCCCTATCCTGGCTTCAAGGTTGCCAACCTGATGCCAGAATGGGAACAAGCTTGTTTTCTCCTGCTCTGGAGGGTAGGACTTGAACCAGTGGCTTCAAGTTACAAGAAAGGAGATTCTGACTAAACACCAGGTACATTTTTCTGATAGTAAGGGCAGTAGAATGGTCTCCCTTGGGAGGCTGTAGACTCTTCTTCCTTCGGGGGTTTTAAGCAGAGGCTGGATGGCCACCTGTCATGGATGCTTAAGCTGAGATTCCTGCATTGCAGGGGGTCGGACTAGATGACCCTCGAGGTGGCAGAGCTTCATGCTCCGGCACCGGGGGCAGAGCGCAGGTGGGGGCGGGGCTGGCATGCGTCCCGGGGGCGGGATGTGCTGCCCAAAGGGGTGTGGCACGCATTCTGGGGGCGTGATGCGCCGCCTGTGGGGGAGGGACACCCAGTGTGTGTGTGTGTGTGGGGGGGGAGCCCAGCTGCGATGGAACCCCACCAGGATCGCGCTGCCGGGGGCGGTGCGCTCCCTTCGCCGCCCTCTTCCTCCACCAGCGATTCTATGTTTCTAAGTTTCTGGGAAGCAGGACATCAACACAGCAACGCTCTCTCACTTGTTATCCCCAGCAGCTAGCGTTCAGTAACAGTAATCCAAGTGACCTGATTACTGAGCATTTATCTGCATTTGCTTGTACAGTGGTACCTCGGGTTAAGAACTTAGTTTTTTTCTGAAGGTCCGTTCTTAACCTGAAACTGTTCTTAACCCGAGGTACCACTTTAGCTAATGGGGCCTCCCACCACCGCCACGCAATTTCTGTTCTCATCCTGAAGCAAAGTTCTTAACCCGAGGTACTATTTCTGGGTTAGCGGAGTCTGTAACCTGAAGCGTATGTAACCCGAGGTACCACTGCATAAAGTTTAGACAGAAGGTTGGACCATGAGCCTCTTCGGTTTTATGTAGATTGTGAACACCTTGAGTCTCTTTTAATCAATGTTGCTCTTCTGCATTTAAAGGGGAGAAAGTTGTAGCTGGAGGCGGACGCCACATGGATGAGGGGAAATTAAAGGAGGCGTTAGGGGTTCACAAGATGCTAATTTGAACCAACCAACCCTCCACACCACCCCACACATACAAACAAGCCACACTGCATCCAACTAAATGCAACCAACCATCTTTGGATCCTCCGATCTCTCACAATGCCAATAAAAATAAGTAAATATATAAACAAAGGACCTACCCATGTGATACTGAAAGAAAAGCCCGGCACAATCCCTATGCAATGGATTAATAGAATGAAAGATCATTATCCCCAAACTCCCTCCCTCCTTCCCTCTTTCCCCACAACAGCACAATGTCTGTGACAAATAAGTCTCATACCGAATGTAAACGAACTGTGAAAGAGACTCATACGTTTTGAAAGTGGGGATGCTATATGTACTTTCCCTTGTTTATGTGTTTGTTTGGTAACACAAGAAAATCTTTAATAAAAGCTAATTAAGAAAGCAAACCAAAGCAAAACAAAACAAAATAAAACATGGCACATCAAACCAAGGTATGGATGGGCTGTAAGCCTAGCCTTTAGTGAGTATTTGTGTTGCTTCGTTTGGATCTGGGAGACCTGAGTTCTAGTCCTCCCACAGCCAGGAAGAGCATTGGGTGACCTTTGGCCAGTCACCCTCTCTCAACCTAACCTTCCCCATAGACTTGTAAAATATAAATATAATGAATGAAATTAATATTCTGAGTGGGGAATTCCCACACCCCTCGCTCCAGAATTTTGCTAGACTGAAAGCACAAGCAAGATGGAGTTCTGTATATTCCGCAGCTGCAAAACACTCAAAATGGATCATTATTCTGCTGTTGCGGCAGGTTATCAGAAACAGGAGACAGATCTTATCGGCAGTTTCTTAACGGTGGCATTAAAACTTTTAAAGTTCCCGGCTGAGAAATCGATGGAGGCATAATTAACTCCGATTTACGTTCCGAAGGCATTTGTATTCCTGCATTAAGGACATGTTCCATTATGTTATCTACAGAAGTGTCGATTCATTCTCCGGCGAGCCCATGCAAAGTGTCTCGCTAATTTCCTCCTTTTCTATAGTCATAAACTGGGAGCGTTTCAGAGCTATGCATCATCTTGGATTGGAAAGAAATGGCTTGCTAATTTCTTCCGCAAGCGGGGCTGCAAGCTTCCAGGCTGATTTAACCAGAAAATAA